AGAAAATGTCTAACAAACCTTGAACCATAAATCATAATATTTTTGTACACGTAAATGTTTCTTTTTTACTTGTTCTAACAAAATGATAAAAAACTGAACTGCAACAAAAATTGCAGACTAAACAAACTTTGACAAAATACTATAAATTATTCTTGTATTCAATCATAGCCAACGCCCAACATTTATTTTTTGAATAGCTACCATCTACAACCCAATTGACATTCTTCAGGGTTTTTATATCAGGTATATTTATTTTTTAAAGGGAGTTATTTTTTTTTATCAAATTCATTTGATATATTATTTTTTATCTGGTATTTTTGTGTTCTTTACGTAATAATAGATTTTAATTAAAAACAAAAGAAGTAAAAAGGAGAATGAGTCATTCATTTTGAAAGGACTTTTAAATGTAGACAGACTTTTATAATTTTTTATTCTCTCTCATGCCACATCATCATAAGCAAAAATTAAAAAGTCACCGTTGGAGGAGGGTTTTTGTCCCGCATCTAAAATTATGCAATTAACATATCTTGGAGATGTTCTTATCTTTTCTCTAAGTCACCGAAGAATTTTTGTTCCAATGCATCTACAATTCTGCAATTAACATACGACTTGGGATGCTCTCTTTTTATCTTTCACGTTTTTAAAGAAATTTGTCATCTTTCTGCGTGTTTGACGCCACAATCATGAAATAATCATATGAAATAAACTACAACTTTTTTTTTAAATAAGTTTAATATTTTCTTTTTCTCCATTCACAAGTGTATTTAAAATTTTCATTTTTTCAAAAGCTTATTTTAAAATTAGGTGAAATAAGATTCACTTGTCTTGATAATATGATTCGAGGAAAAAATATTCAAATTACATGATGACAAATGAGTTGAAATGTGATAATCACTCCAACTTTTGCCTCTTTAGAAATTCTAATCTTGAAAAGTAACTAAAATTTATTTTCAATTCCTTGCTACACATCAGGAAAAAGAACTTGTGTTATTAATCATATGTACAAGTAAATAAAAAAGAAGAAAAAAAATTGGATTTATTTATAGTTACTTTAAAGCCATAAAAAAAAAAAAAGAGCTCTGCATCCGCCTCATGTTTTGCTCCTCAATCATCCAAATCTTCCCACGGCAACAACCCGGTATTCGGGTCCTCAAAACTCGTAAGCACCCGATCCCTCAATCGTGTATCCTTAACTTCACAAAACCTCGTCGACCAATCGGGTGGCTCCACCGCTTTCGTCCCCAATCCAGGCGCTCGATCCTTCGAACCCACATTCGTCTCTTGCTGCCAATCAGACACATAAGTGGCCACCCTTCCCTTAAACTTCTCCTTAAACACCTCCCACACTTGGTACTTGTAATGATTGATCACCAACGAGCTTATGTCAACATTCTCGTGCCTAAACCCGGGCTTGAGCCCAAAGTGATGCACCATGTTGATGAGAGACGAGTCGAGCGCCTCGGGCCTCACTATGCTCTTGTGCCTCTCGGGTACGGCCAAACGGCACGTGTACCCAATCGAAACCCCTCTCTCGGGCGATTTTGTAAGTCCCGAGGGCCCAAAGTTGTGGCAAGGGATCCGGAGCTCGGCTACATCACTAGGTCGAGCGTGATTTTGCACAAAGTCGCGCAAGGACGAATTTTTCGAAGGGAAGTGTAGAAACTCGTCCACGTCTATGAACCCGATCCATTTACAAGTGTCCCTAGCCATTAACGCGCAATGCCCAAACCCAGCCTCTTGAGTCTTGATCCACGGCCACAATCGTCTCGTGATGTTGTGGTTACTATTGGCCACGAGCGAGTCCACCACAAGCTCGATGTGGTCGTCGCTATTGTTGTCGTAGATGAAAAAGCTTTCGACCCCAATACGCGCGTGGTACATTATCCATTCCGGCAAAAATCGAGCTTGGTTCCTCAACATTGTGCACACACAAACCTCGTGTAGCTTCTTATTATTATTGTTGCCGTTGTTTGGTGGTTTTGGGATTTGATTGTTACTCACGCGTGCGACTGAGTCGATTATCGTCTTCTTCTTGCCGACGGCCCTAACCGAAACCTTGATTGAATTAATAATGCCATTCCCGCCAAACCTTGATTGAATTATGGTAAGAGGCGTTTTGCACCTGACAATTTCTTGAGCGACCGAAACGGCGTCGGACTGGAGGACCAATTTTGACTTGGTCAGATCTTGACCGTAGACGCACTTGAACTTTGACGGGTCGGCGGCTCTTCCTGACCGTAGATTGAGACCTTTCACGAACACAACGGTTGTGTTATCCACGTCACCGTCGATCGTGGCCTCGTAGGCGAGGGAGTCCCAGTTGTAGGTGGGCCCAGGCGTGAGGTTACCGTTGGGCTGGACCGCGAGGGACAGGATCTCGCCACGTGTCGGGAGGGAGCACCGCACGATCTGGTGGTGGGTGTCGTGGTCAAAGTCGACGGACGATGGAGATAGTTCGCGAGGCGGCTGGGATGATGAAGATGAGTTTTGGGGTTGATTATATACGCACTTGATGGCATCCACGGTAAATAGAGAGGACGAGTGAGGGTATTTTAGGAAAACTAAGGCCTCGTCGGGAAACATAACCGTGTGATCGATTGAGGTCGACGGAGTTTCAGGGTATTCCGATATGGCCTCCGTCGCCGGAAAACTCCCTGTTGTTACCAGTGCGGGTTGAAAACCTCCTGCATCAAATATTTCAAAGATCAGGATTTTTTTATTTTTTTTATTTTTTTATAATATTAATTTAATATTCAATTTTCAGACGAATTTATTTATTAAATATTAAAAGTCCAAGATAAAGCAAAAAATAAAGTGTTTCATATCAATTAAAATTACTGTACAAGAGTTGAACTTCAATTGGATTACGCAGAAAATATAGGAAAAAAAAAAATATATATATATTTTCTGATGTTAAAAGACGTCATATGATAATCATACAAACACAAATATCTATTTTTTTAAAAAAAAAAATTAAAAGAAAAAAAAAGGAGACGAAGAAGTACCTGTAAATAAGATGCCGAGAGTGGAGAGAATTGAACCGGCGAAGCAGAGGATAACGATGGTGCACCATAAGCACAATACGCACGATAAAACGGTTCGTTTTTTACGATCTTTCATTCCGGCGACCGGAGAAAAAAAACCGGCAGAGTGCGTAGCTACTCTGGTTTTTATTCCGACTCGTGCATTAACTCTGAAGTCAATAAAGCAGGCGCCTTATAAACTTGAGAGAGTGGGTTTAGTATTTGTTGTGTTGATGAGTGGCTTTTAAAAATTTTTCGAGCACTAAATAAAACTCTCTTAAGGTTAAGGGGTGTGTTTGTTAAGAGATAAGGTGTTGTTTCGTGTCCTTTTCAAGTAAGGAATTTTCTATTTTCTTCTAATAAATCGTTGTATTTCATTTACTTTTTTATATGATATGAATTTGTGAAGGAATAGAATTGTAGTGAGAGAGGACTTTTTTTATAATTTTTAATTTTTTTTTTTAAATATTTTACATCCTCGCAAAAACCTCGATGTGCCGTCAAAAACAAATCAATGAAAATAGAGTTTTTGAATTTTCTACAAATGTAATAATAGACTTAATATAATTTAGTATTTTTTATATTTTTGATTTTAATAATTCTATAAAATATATATGAAGTAGGGAAATGCTACAGTCCCGTTACGGAACTATTCCACCGAGATTTGTAACCGTTAGATCATCATGTAACCGGCGAATAGTTGATCTAACTGTTATAAACTCCGACGGAATAGTTCCGTAATGAGACCGTAGAATCTCCAACTATAATTATTCTACCGTCAAATACTCATGTACACGCCTCGTACATATCTCAAAATATGAACCTATTCAAATTATGACACATGCCTTTTTACTGTCTTAAATATTTTGTTCAAAAAAAAAAAAATAAAAAAAAAATTATGCTACTGACTTACCCTTAGTGTTGAGCATGACACTCGAAGAATTTTGAACCGTTTCGAAAAACTGAATCAAAATCACTCCGAACTGAAAAGTAACATTTGAACGTTTGACTTTCTCCATAGCGAACCAAAAAAATAATTGGTACGGTTCTGAATATTTTAAAATAACCGTACCGAGAACCGAACAATCACATACCGTACCAAACAGAAGAACCGATATTAAGAATCAAATTATAAAAATAGATGTGTTATTGATATATATTATGTCAACTTTGATACTATATAATTTGATAACATTTAAAATGCAAATAAATATACTATTTGTAATAATATATATATAGTATTTGTAATAAATATATATATATATATATATATTATTTTTATTAAATAATACATGATATGTATTATTAAATTTTTTATTAGTTAAATAATTATTTAATATAATGTTATTTCTTATTTATTATATTAATAAATAAAAATATTAAATAGTATATTTATTATTAAAAATAATAAATATACTATTTGTAATATTTTTTTTTTTTTTTTTTGCTAGAATCTACTTACGTGCATTGTCAGAACTCATATAAGTCCTTCCTTTGAGGGCGTTCAGTGTGCTCATGTACTCATTAACCGACTCAACTACATCGGTTGTGCAAGTATTGCTCTATCCTTCATATAACGAAGCTCTTCACTTGAACACCTGGTGAAAGCTCGAGCACATGAGCCGAGCTCGAACAATTAATCAAGCATGTATAACGAGCCGAGCCGGACATATTCACAAATAGTCTTTTACTATATTTTTATTTTTTATGGATTTTAAACGAGTCGAACAGAGCTTGTGAGAACTTAAACGGGCCAAGCCTTTTGTTAGTTGATTATACAATCACAAGCTCGAACATGAGCTACTCAGTTTGACTCATTAACACCCTAAGATAACCCGGATATCTAGATTGTACATACAATTTTAAAAAAATGAGTGTATCTATTTGAAGTAAACAAAGTTGTCCTTATGAAGTTATATATATATAGCCTTTACAAAACGTTTCTCAGTAGCAAAAACTAGGGCCAAATGGAGCTTTACTTGGCTTTTACACTGCTTTGATATAATTTGAAGTCACGCTGATCTTGGTCAAGCAAGAGAATCACTTGTTGTAATGGCTATTATTTTGGATTAGGAGCATATTTTAAATTTTTCCACTAACACGAAAAGAAGATAAGGACTGCAGTAGCCACTATATATCATGTAATAAATAGATCTTAAAATGCGTATAATAAAAAAGAGCGTACAAGTAATTTAACTTAATGATTTTAATTATCACACCCGTAAAAGGATGAGCATTTTTGTTTATTTTTGGGCTTGTCTAATTACTTGCGGGAGATGCAATATACAGTCCCGTTACGGAATCAGGATTTGTAACCGTTAGGTCATCATGTAACCGTCGGAACCCCGACGGAATGGTTCATAGCGAGACCGTAGCATTTCCCATTACTTACATAATCATATAGTTATTTGCTGACGTCTACAACAATCACGTGGTTTTGGCCAACGACGACAGCCTCCTACGCCTTGTTCCCATCTTTCCGGCTATAGGGTGGGGTTAGCGAAGGTGGCTTCCTCCGGTGAGGCTAGTCAGGATGGTTATCTCGGCTTGTGGTCTCTCTACCGTCTAGTGGCTTCATGGGGTTTGGATCTGGCTCGAATTTCATTTCAACGTCAGTTTAGTCGTTTAACTTTGAATTGGGGTTTTAAATATGGGGGCTTTAGTTTTATATTTCTTATTTTGTCAATGAATTTGGGGGGAATGATCTATGTGTTGAGTTGCT